GTCCATGTTTCCTATTATTCTTGGTGAGAATTAATGATCCCAGAAGCCACTGGCTCAGGGCAGCTTCAGTGATGGTGGTCGTGGGTACCCTAGCTCTGCAGTTGAGCTCATCAAGAGCCCAGAAAGGCTCAGTTGCACTCAAAGAATCCACACCAATATCTCAGGCTGACAAACTGGTGATCCTCCAACCTCAGTCTCCTGAGTGCTGTGATTGAAAGTATAATTCTAATTCCTAGAAACATGTAGCTTCCAAAGACTGAATCCTGAAGAAAGAGAAACATCTAAACAGAAACCTAAAGAACAAGGAGACTGCAGCAGTAATAAACAGATAAACAAACCAAATCTCTCAACAGAGGAAAGCCCAGAATGAGACGGTTTCACAAGCAAACTTACCAATCATTTGAAGAACAATTAACACAATTTCTTCTTAAATGTTTCTTAAACATTGAAGAGGAGGGAACAAGGCCAGCATTACTGTCGCACTACAGCCAGATAAAGATACTTCAAAAAGAAAAGCCCATGTCCCCAACAAACATAGATGTAAAAAAATCTCAACAAAATGCTAGCAAACCAAATCCAATAACATATTAAAGGGATCTTAGAATATGGCCAAGTGAGATTTCTTAAATGCAGTATAAGATAGTTCAATATAAACAAATATATCATATTAACAGAATGAAGGATGAAAAACATACAATAAATTAAATGGATGTAGTACATCATTTGAAAAAAGTTCAATACTCTTTTATACTTTTAAAGCCCTTTCAATAGGGGCTGGAGAGATGGCTCAGTGGTTAAGAGTACCTGCTGCTCTTAAAGAGGTCATAAATTTGCTTTCCAGCACCCACTTGGTGGCTCACAACCATCTCTAACTCCAGTTTCAGGGGATTCAGTATCCTCTTCTGGCCTCTGCAGGCAACAGGCACACATGTGGTGTACATACATACATGAGGGAAAATACTCACATACATAAAATAAAAATAAAATATCTCTTGAAAAACCCTCTCAATAAGTTAGGTATGGAAAGAATGTACCAAGACAATTAGTCAAGTAAAAATCATTCAAGTTTGAAAGGAAAAAAATTATATGGACTCTACAAATGACATATATAGACATATATATTTCATATATAGAAAACGCTAAAGACTACCCAAAAGTCACTAGAACTAATAAATACATTCATTAAAGATACAAGATACACAACATAGAAAAATGATTGTGATTTTATATATCAATAACAAACTATGAGTTTTAGTTTACTTCTCTGCTGTGATAAAACACTGGCCAGAGCCATGGTGGCACACACCTTTAATCCTAGCACTAGGGAGGCAGAGGCAGTGGATCTCTGTTAGTTCAAGGCCAGCATGGTCTCCATAGTGAATCTAGGCCAGCAATGACTACAGGGAGACCTTGTCTCAAAAAGACCAGCAAAACAAAACAAAACAAAATACTGACCAAAAGCAACTTAGGGGAGGAAAGGGTTTATTTGGCTTACAGGTTACAGTCTGATACTGAAGAAACCAAGGCAGGGGGAACAAAAGGCAAGAACTTGGAGGCAAACCAAAAAAAATTTTTTTAACTTTATTTTTATTTTATGAGTGTTTTGCCTGTGTGTATGTAAGTATACCACTTGTGTGAAGTGTCTTCAGAGTCCAGAAAAGGGCATCAGATCCCCTGGAACTGGAGTTACAGATTGTGGATGCTGGGTCCTCTGCAAGAGCAATAAGTGCTCTTTGTTACTAGCCATCTTTCCATTGGCTTTATTTCCTTTTTAGCTATGACATCAAAAGCATGGGCACCAATAGCAAAAATAAACAAATGAGACTGTATCAAACTCAAAAGCTCCTGCACAGCAAAGCAAACAATTGGGAAAATGAAAAGGTAACCTACAGTAGAGAAGAAAGTATTTACCAGCCATGTACCCGACAAGAGGCTGATATCCAAAATATATACTCATGCAACTTAATTTAAAAAACTAATTAAAAATGGGCAAAGAAGCTGGGTATGATGACTTATGCCTTTAATTCAAGAAAATAGGAAGATTTCATGAATTGCTCTTCTGTATGAGTTACAGAGTAAGTCTCTGTATCAACACACACACACACACACACACACACACACCCACACCCCCCACACACACATACACACACTGACCTCAATATATGTGGTGGTTCAAATAAAAATGTCCCCCATAGTCTCTAAGTATTTGAATACTTGGTCCCCAGTTGCTAGTGCTGTTTCTGGAGCTGTTGGAGGTGCCACCTTGCTGGAGTCATTGGGGGTGCACTTTGAGAGTTTATAGCCTTGCCCCATTTCCAGTTTGCTCTCTTTGCTTCCTGTGCCTGCATGAAGATGTGAGTGTTCTGGTTGCCTCCCCACCATGATGGACTCTTCTTCATCTGGAACAGTAAGTCCCATAAATTCTTCTTTCTGTTAAGTTGCCTTGCTCATGTTTTTTTTGTTGTTGTTGCTTTGTTTTTGTTTTTTAATCACAGCAACAGAAAGGTTACTAAAACAATAGATACCAGATATTTTCTCAAAGAAGACAAATGGCCAAGAGGTAAAGAGGAGCGCACTCAACAGTGTTGATGATCAGGAAAAGGAAAATCAACACTGTCAAACACCAACTTGCATCTGCTAGAATTGCTACTATCAAAAAGACCAAAGATAAAAAGTATTACGGGTCAGATGTGGTGGCACACCCCTTTAATTCTCTGTGAGCTCAAGGTCACCTGGTCTACATAGTGAGTTCCAGGCCAGCTGGGGCTACTAGAAGACCCTGTTTCAAAAAAAAAAAAAAAGTATTAAGCACACGAAGGAAAGGAAAATCTTGTATACTAATGGTAGGAATTAAATCATCATTATGGAAAATTGTATAGACGTTCCCTAAAATAATAAAAATAGAACTATCATATGACCCAGTAATCCTACTCCTGGGCATATAGCCAAAGGAAATGATATTAATATCTCCATAAGATATCCACAGCTCTAAGTTCATCATAACACTATTCATAATAGCAAAACTATAGAAACAATA